TCTGACTCAGAGCACTGTATGCTATCTAGGGAAATGACACGGTTCTCTAAAAATATTTGCTTTGGTATGTTGTGTCAAGTGATGGATTGTACAGCTTTTCAAGCCACAAGAGATGCCCACAACAAAAAGCTTCCTGTTGTTAATCAAACTCCAGCACTCAGTACTTTATTTTCTCAGGCTGTTGAGCAGACCTACAGTAGGAGTGTTAAAAGCTGGCAGAACTGCTCCCTTGCTACAGCTCCCTCAATTACTGTATTTTATTTAACAAGGCAGATTTTCATTCTGAAGATAAGGTCTTCCATACTACAACTTAGTTATGGATGAGGACAGGAAGAAGCAAGATTAATTCAAGCTGTGTATATTGTGTGTCATTCTTTATCCAGCAGTTTGCTCAGATTTGCTACGTGATGCATTGTGCAGAGCTAAATATTATTTTTTTCCTTCTCCTTAACTGGTGTCAAGTAAAATGCATATGCCAGCCCTTGCATATGTTTGTCTTAAAAATGTGTCGCCCACCTGCACTTTTGGAAGCAGTGATACAGCAATAAGAATATTTCTCCTGGATGCTAGGAGATATTGTAAAATAGAGAGGAAGTAATTCATATGTAGAAACAGCTAGTGCCCTTGCAATATGCTTCTGTAGGAAATAAATTGATTTTAGAAATAGGAACACATGAGTCTTTTTTGAAAAAAAATCATGAACATTTCTCTCCTGGGAAAAAAAAATACACACTTAAAGTGCTCCTCATTTTTTGTAAGGTAAGGGCCCATTCCTATAGGCAAGTCTGCTCCCAGACTTTGCACTTTCAAATAAAGATGTTCACATTGCAGCACAGGCAACTATCAAAGGCTGTGTTTTTGGATAAGGCCTTAGGCATCATTTTCTAAGAGAGATATGCTTCTTAAGCTGAATGAAAGTGAAAATTTGAAAAAAAAAAAAAAGAACTTGAAACATGCTGCTGTTAGTCAAAGCTGAAAGTCTGGTCATGGAAATGAAATGTGAAGATTTCAGGTTTGTAGACAGCTGCCTATCTCAGATCACAGCCATAAGGCTTGCAATAACTTACAAAATCGCTTGCATTTTCTAAAATAAATACCAGATGTTTGTTTATCATATGTGCAGAACGTTAAATGTCAAATAATTGCAGGGAAATGCATTTGATGTTCATCTTCAAAAGTACTGTATTTCAACACCACATCTCTTCACAGGCACTCTAACATGAAACATAAGTTCTTGAAACAAAAAGGACAAGAAGGCCAAAGCAAAAAGCTAGTTATTAAAGACTTATATTACAATCATAGCTGGAGTAGCCTGCATCTGAGAAAAATGGGTTACCTCTGGTCACATTAACACTTGGAGGCTTCTTTGGAGAGAACATACTCTGTTGACTGGAACTTTTACAGGAGGTGGACTCTCTAGACATAAGCCTTCAAGATGCAAAAGACTTCCTGTCTGGTGACACAGCTGTTCCAGAGCTATTACCTTCTGCATTGATTCCTCTGGGAAAAATAGAGAAGACCTGTGCCTTACCACAGTTACACTTGGGTACCTTCAGGTTCCAGTTGTTACTAGCAATTGATATAGTTGAACTTCAATTCTGAACAGTCCCAATGACTTTTAGAATCTGTGTTTTATGGACAACTTTTTGCATTTTATAAAAAGCAAACTTTCAAAACCCAATGGAACAAAAACAAAATGCATCACAAAGTGATTAATGAGGGGGAGCTTAACAGCCCATTAAAATGTGTCGTGCAGTTTCCGAGGTAGTTTTCTACATAATTCATTTCTATCGCCTTTCTTAGAGAAGATTGCTACATTTAGAGCTTAATTTGCAAACATACTTAGGCACCACAGAGGACTGCACAGTTGCAATTCTGTTTGCATGCACCTGGAGAGGGGCAGCTCCCCTCCGGAGGCCACTGCAGAGAACTGTCAAAGGGAAGTAAATGCCTTAAGCCCTACCTCTCTCCTGGACTTTTTCACTGACACAGGGTTAGTACTAAAAATTCCAAGAGACCCTTCTGCCTCTCTGTTGTTTAATCTCACCTTTCTTGTTTGCACTGCTTCTTTCTCACAAAACACCGGTGGAGAAATGTTATTCTTCTTTCCTTTATCAGCCTGAGAGCAAACAGCCCCTGGCACGCAGCAGGTCTGGGGTCTGCTTTTGCAAGGGCTTTAAAGCTGTGCTGAGCACTCGAGCTGTCAGACTCCAGGCACTCCAGGAGAAGACTACTGTTGACATAGTTCCAGTTTTCAAGAGCACCTAAAGATTTGCTGACCTGGAGAGAAAGGACGTCCATATGAAGAGATGCGCTCCCAACCAAGAGAGCCCCCCTTCCTCCAGTAATGTCTTTCTCAGTTACTGGAGCCAGGAGTGCTAATGAGGTTGCCTTTCCTTCCTTACTTATAGGCAATAAATCAGAAGTCCTCTCAGAGTCTCCCTCTCTCCCAGTGAGAGAGTTCTGCCAGGTTCTAGGCATAAAAGTACATGTCTATAGACGTTGTGTGTTTGGGACTTTATCCTGGGCAGTAACACATGCTGTAAGATATTCAGTGCCCTGGAGTTAAGAAGGTGTATTGAATCCCTGAATTTGGGACCAAGCAAAATTTGGGGGCCTGAAGTTTTCTGACAGGACAAGCCTGAGTCCTGAATGGTCAGTGACTGGTAGTAATTGATAAGTCAGGCATCAAATAATCAAATCTTCCTAAGCCACCAATGTTACATTTTAACTTGGCTTCAAATACCTAGAACTCTTGTAAAAGGCCATTGCTTGACTTTATTCACAATGAAGTACTTACTGTATATTAAAAAGCCTCTACTAGAATAATTTCAAATCAGTTGGAATGGTACAGGCTTGGGACCCTAATCATTTCAAAACTGAAGAGCTGTTTCAAATTGTAAGAGAGGCAGATCATTTAAATAACTTAGCTCTGTGCTCCCTCAGACTTCCAGATTTTCAAGTGCACTTCAGCCTGGAAGTGAATGTGGTATTGGACATAACTCAGTGCAGCACACTTTACAATCAGCAGAGTACAGCTTGGAGAGCATTTGAAGTTAAGCTGAGATTGCTCAAAGCAATGATGCCCAGATTCCCCCATTAACTTTCAGATTGCAACAATCTAACATCTGAGACTCTCCAGTTACTTTAAATCACTTGATTGTTTTTGTGAGGTGGTGCTGGGATTTTATTTTTTTTTTAAGACTGAAATTTTTTTTATCACACAAAACCAAAATGTTGCAGTATTTCACCACTAAAGACAAGGGCTAAAATGTTACATATAGCCTTACAAATGTATAAGCCTTACAAACTGGGGCAGGGGCTTTGCCCTGAAAGACAGTTCTATCTGTCACACACAAGGCTGCTATTCTTGGGTTGGAGGACTCCAAAATGCCTTGCATATGACAGGGGCACTGAGAGAGCAGACTCTCTGTCCTCAATAGCACTTCCTTCAGCCTTTTGACAGAGAATGCACAGCATGTTGATTTAACTGCTCCACTGCCTTTGGATATATGACATACATCCAGGAAAAAGGATGCCTGTGGGACACAGGACACATATATTCTGCATCCTACGTACTTTGGAAATAATGAAAAAGACTGAGACATTCATGGGGCCATTCACTTGAGAAGAGTTAATTCAACCTATTATCCTACTAAACTCTGGGCAACTCAAGTTAGGGGAATAAATTACACTGATTAATATTTTGTGAATAGGGTCATTTTGTACAAAAATGAAATTACCTACTTTAGGAAACAAAGGTTCTCGCTGCAGAGGAAGAGGGTGAAGAATTTTATTTTAATTGGTTTGTTGTTATGGCTTAAAAAGGCTGTAAGGAAATGGCAGAGGTTTCAAAACTGTGGTCACCAACCTGACTGTGAGAAAGTTTTTTGCCCAGTTTCAGCTATTTGGACTTGTGCACTGGGATAAGGGGCTCTTTTGCCAGCAGAACTGAGTGGCCAGCTACTTGAGTAGTTGTATTCCTGCACCCCACACCATTCTCCCAAATATGTCGATACTTCTTTGATGCCACATGATGAACTGGATAAGGAAAAGACCTGGATGGAAAATAAATGATGGGGGAGAGCAAGGTTAACCTAAATCACTTGTCCATTTGTAATGGACAATGTAGTTCCATGAGAGAAGGAGGAGACTGAAGAGTGAATAAGAGAGATGATCTCTAACGCACATTCATGTGCATTTCTCCAGCAAGTTCAAAATGACATTGTTTTCTAATGATAGAATTTCATGGCATTTGACAGCTGGAACAGAATTACTGCACTTGTGCTAATGCTTCTTTCTGTTTTCCTCAAATACATCATGCAGTACTAGCAACTAATTTGCCTTTTCCCCAACAAAATCACACAGTGATTTGTAATTATCTGGTGACGAACTAATATGCATTGGGATTCTTCTCTTCTGCAAGTGATGATCTTCTGGGTTTTAGCAAAATTCTTCTTATCATTCCATAAGTGCAACTTTGACATTATCCTAGTGAATTCTGTCCCATTTCTACTGCCACAGTCCTCAGGGTCACTCAGCTCTTACTGCATGAGTCTCCTCTGTGTTGGCAACACCTTGCAGCTGGAGTGTTCTCAGGGAATTTCATTAGCATCTATGCAAGTGCTTAATGAAAGTATTAAGTAAGGTTGTTCAGCAGACTGGCCCTTGAGGAATTTCTCTAGTAGCTCCTCTGCAGTCTGGTAGTTCCCACTTGCACTGATGGTGTCTCTGGTTCCCCCTCACAGAGGAAAGAGAATTCTCTGGTGCGTGAATAACATTCCTGGCTAATTAGGCAAATTTCCCCGAATTCTGTGATGACACTGTTTAAGAAAGAAGAGATTATGTCTATGTTATTGTCAACAATATTTGGCAGTTTGCTTTATATAAAATCCTTATTATTTTTGCAAGACAGGGTGAGGTAGAGAGGGTGCCACTGCTGCAATTTTGTTATGCTCTGAACTGGTTGTCCTCACACTTCAAATTGTTCTCTACCACAGGTAGACCTGGGCCTTCTCCGCTTTGTTTCTGGAATTGGGACCCAAGGAGCCATCTCAAAAGAAACAAAGAAGGAATATTATCTGAAAACATATCGTGTAGATGTCAGCTCCAATGGAGAAGACTGGATTACCCTGAAGGAGGGAAACAAACCTGTTGTGAGTATTTTTTTCTTTTTTTATCTCTCTTCAGCTGAGAAATAGTCTGTTGAACTGTTTAGTTGTTATTTTCTGCTTAAAAAAGAGGAATAAAGTTTAGTCAGGTTGATCAGCACTATTTCCCAAATCCAAAAGCCAGCTTGTGTCTCAGTAGTAATGGGACACAGAAATTGTTTATGCAAAGCCTAGAGCAGCTGAAAATGGTGTAAGGTGATGCCCCATGTATTGAACTCACCATAATTTGAGTCATTTTGTGTCTTTTTCCTGGACTGTTCTGCTGTTTCCCTGTTTCTCAGAGATTTTCTATGTGAACTTGAGAAAAACATTATGCAGAACTTTTCAAAAAATGTGTCTGTCTGTTATGTGCAGTGAAGCTCTGGATGTGCAATGTGTCAGTGCCTCAGCTCCCTGTGCATGGCCATTGCAGGACTGCTAGCAGATGATTAGTGGTTTGTTAGACTTCCAAGAATCTCAGTGATGGGGATCATGCAGACAGATGATTAGGCACATCTTTCCATCCTTATAGATTTTTATCACCTTTCCATTTATCAGCAGATTTGCTCTCTGTGACCTCCCAATGAAACAGCTTTAGACGCTCATAAGAAAAATTGTCATTATCCGCTACCATGAGCATAAAGCTCATTACTGAGAAGTCAGTTCTGCTCCAGCTCACACATGAATAGCCCCAGTGAGGCTGTGCCTCCCTTCCCACCTCGCTCAGGATGTGCCTGGGAGCAGCATCCCCAGAGGCTGCCAGGGGCTGATGCAATTGGAATAGTTTTGTGGTGCCTCCCTTCAAAACAGCTTTTTTGTGACCCCTCTGTAAAGACACAGAAGAGCTGTACAATATCAAACTCTATCAGTGCAACCCTATCTAGCTCTAAATATTTGGTTACTGGTTTGTCCCTGACTCATCTGTAAATGCTATGCCAAGTCCACTACATTTATCTAATCAATGTGGTAGCAGTGTTTAACAAATACATCTTGCTTTTTTGAAGCTCTTTGGAAAACAGTAAAAAATGAATACTGAAAACTTCTCTCTGATAGGTATTATCCTGGTTTTACTGGAAGTCCTGAAAGTCAGATGACACAATGTGGGCACTGTACAGTGGTGTATATAAAGATATAATAATTGACTTGCCCAAAATTCACAAGAGGGGCCAGCACAGTGGCTGGTATGAGACATGGGGTTTCCTGACTCTGGATTCTGCAATCTGAACAAATGCTTCTTTCAAAATCAGACCATGCCTGATTTTCGTTACCAGCTTCAATTTGTAAACTCTCCAAAAGTGTATTTTACATGAGTTTCTCTTGCAGATCTGTCTTTAATTAGTGAGAACATCTCCTAAACCTGTGTCACTTGTACGAAGGGTTCATTAAAAAAATCAGTTTTCTAAAATGGCAGTATTTTGCTGTTGATCAAGACAAGAAAAACGTATGCACTAGTCTCCCTCACAGATATTTTAATTCAAATTAAAAGTTTGCACCTGCAGGTCATACCTGCAGTCATACCCCAGGGTTGCACTAACTACATGTAAGAATCTCTTGTACTTTTGAGAAAATACTCCTTTTCTGTGTCAGATACAAACTTTGAGAAAACTATAGCAGGTCCTCACAGAAAAAAATTTAAAAAAAAAACAGTTGCTGGAAAGAAATGCAGTTCCATTACAAATCTCTTACTAGATATGAAACTGTGGTGTTAAATTACCTGAGCTGTAACTGAGCCTTATGAGTTGACAGCTGTGTGCTGTTGGCCTCCGCTCCAAAATTAATGCAGCTACTGTAAGGAGCAAACAGGAAAGTAGGACAGTGTGTGTAAGAAATGGGAGAATCTCCCATAAAAGGAGAGGGGTCTGCATCCATGGAAAACAACAGGAAATTAGTCCCCTCTACATGAGGAAGAAGCAGGAAGCTGAATCACCTTCTTTGGACTGGAACATTGCAAGGTTTTGCTGGGCTAGGAAGGAGTGTGTCTGCAGGATCCTCAACATGAAAGCACAGCACAGTCATGTGCTTCTGGTGGAAGTCTCATTGTTCATCTAATTTGACTTCCAGCCTCAGGGGATGCAGGGAAAATCTTGGAGCCTGCTATACAGATTTTAAATAGACTTCAATCTCAATATGCAAGGAGAAAGAAATTCTGAGACCTTGTTGAAAAGGATTTGAAAACAGGGTGTTAACAAAGCAAGGTTTGGACAATACACCGTAAAAAATCTTAAGCCCAAGGTCAGCAAAATAATATATATTTCTATCATAACCATATAGGATTTTTATGTGGTCTAATTGAAATCCAAATCTTTAATTTGAGCCTGAGATTCTTTAGCTTTCTGCATCATTCCATGAGTGTACAAGAAATAAAACTGCTCTAATGGGGCATTGGGGGATTCTTCCAGGACACAGAAGTCGTTGGGTGATGAAGACCAGTGTTTGTCATTCCTGCATATAGATCTGGGCATTAGGAACAACTTTTTTAGTATCATTGAACACCTTACATCTTCATTTTTCTTCTCCAGGGAAAGCAAACCTGTCTGCAAAAGTTGTGTTAGGAGATTAATGAAATAGTTTCCCATGCAAGTCTTTTGTCTCAGGCCCCACAACAAACCCTGGCTAGACCTCATATCATAACTGTCTGTAAAACACAGAACTGTAAGCACCAGTTAAGAGAAAGCCTAACAAATATATACTTTTTCTTTCCACACAAAGGTGTTTCAAGGGAATAGCAATCCCACTGATGTTGTTTACAGAGCTTTTGCCAAACCAGTTTTAACACGGTTTGTGAGAATTAGACCTGTGTCTTGGGAAAATGGAGTTTCACTGAGATTTGAAGTGTATGGCTGCAAGATAACAGGTAGGTCTTGGAAAAGATTATAAAGTATGGGGAATTTATTGTGCTTATGTTGTGGGATTTATTTTTATGAGTAAAATTCATGAACATGATTTCCACCATGATCTGAATGAAGAAATATTAAAAAAAAAAAGATAACAAAACACCACAACCCAAACATCCAGCATTATCTGAATATTTTCCTCACACTATATTTTAGTTTTAATTACTTTTATTGCAATCACTTTACAGCTTCATGCAAAATTCCTGACACACACAGATACTTCGCAAATTCTCTTTTTTTCCCTTCTAACCCTCCAGTCTCTCTCTCTTATGTCTGCTATTCATAGGTAGTTCTGAGCAGGTTTCTCAAGGAACAAACACACATTACTAGGTTTAAAAGGATTGCAAAGTACAAACACTTAGATCTGAAGTCTGTGCAAATAATGGTGGTTGTAGTCAAGTTCTCCATCATGATCAGTATTGCAATGTAATTCCTTTATATCACAGAGTTACCTGTCAAAAAATTTTTAGAAATATCTTTTTTGCAGTTTTAAGTTTTCTAGAATTTCTACACAGTGGAAGTGCCTTTATCTGTAAAGTAGAAATACAACTTACAGTTGAAAGAAAATGATAATGATTTATTAGACTTTAGAAAGCTAATTTTTCTAGCACATTTTTTAGCACTTAATACAGTTCAATGGCACTAATTTTTAATATTTAGGGGTTTTTTTCCTTTTAAAGTGTTTATTTAGTCTTGAAAATGTTTCTTAGAACTGGTTTCCATACAGAAGGAAAATAAGATTACTGATTACTTTGTTAGAGAATTACAAGTCATTCTATGAAATCTTTTCAGATTAGATGCAGGTAATCAGATCTACTGTTTCATTCTATATTAGAATTCTTAATTTTTTGTTAGCAGGTACTTCTAACTTATTTTTATCTGGAATCATAAAATAAGCAACTATTTAGTTCCCGTGTCACCTGAAAAAGTCTGAGAGACAAAAAAAAATGCACTAAGAAAATCTCAAGTGCAACAGTAAATTATATTTTCATGTATGAAGATTTCCATTTCCAATGTCACCAAAATTAGGTAATCTGCAACCAGATTTTGGCTGGTTTTGGAAGTTATCTCTGAGGAAATATTCACAAATTCAGATGGCCCTGCACTCTTTGCTTTAGCAAGAAGAATAGAAAACAAGAATAGAATAGGATTTTCTGATCCTTTTGGTTCCCACCAAGCCAAAAATACTTGTGGTATTTTGGTACTTCCTGCTAAAAATAGGATGTGCAAGTTTGAACAAATGAAAATTATTTACCAATCCAGTAGATTACTTTGAATATAAGAAATAAATAAGTAATCAATTATGATAGTTGAATTGACTTGTCCTGTTTCTGTTTTGGCACTTGTTCATAATAACTATTTAATTTATTTGGATTTTTTTTTCTCTCTGTAGATTATCCTTGTTCTGGGATGCTGGGTATGGTGTCTGGCCTTATTCCTGACTCTCAGATTACTGCATCTACTCAAGTGGATCGAAACTGGATCCCAGAAAATGCTCGACTCATAACGAGCCGCTCAGGCTGGGCGCTGCCACCAACTACTCACCCATACACAAATGAATGGCTCCAAATAGACCTTGGTGAGGAAAAGATAGTGAGGGGCATCATTGTCCAAGGAGGAAAGCACCGAGAAAACAAAGTGTTCATGAAAAAATTCAAAATTGGCTACAGCAACAATGGATCAGATTGGAAAATGATAATGGATTCCAGCAAGAAAAAGATAAAGGTAAGGGTGAAAACTGCACTTGAGAAAAATTGAGTTAAAAAAAGGTTTGCATTAATTTCTACACCTCTCTGTCTGACCTTAGGAAGGGCACACAGCTGGGGTGAAGCCAAGGAGGAGAGCAGCCCTGAAGGAATGCTGTGGGAGCTGTCCCATGCCTGAGGGCAAGAGCTGGCTTTGGGACATTTGCCTCTCCGGCAGCACGTTTTGCTGATTCAACATTTAGTTCAGGCTTCACTCCTGGCAGCATTGGTGCCTCTATGGCTAACAACTTACTGCAAAGTCCCATGCAATGGGATTTTAAAGTCTACTCTAAAAAGCTGATCTCTAAACTGAGAGTGAACAAACTTATTTGAGACAAATTTATTTGAATTACTTTTATTTTTCTTCTTTCTGTCAGACCTATAGAATGAGAATGGTGTTACTCAGCTCAATGGGGTACCTGTTGTGTTTCTCAGCTGCCTGTAGATTGCTTTGAGAGTTTCACAGGTTCTCTGTAATGATCTGATCTAAGTGCCTCCAAAAGAAAATGATGAAGTTTTGGTCATGTTATTCCATCCCAAGTGAGAAGTACTATTTTACTCACACATGGGAAGCATCTTGGAGAATGCTTGGGAGTACATTTCCAGAGGAGGGCCAAATGAATTGCTGGGTTAGATTCCAAGGAAAAGAAAATAATTGTGGCCCAGAAGAATTTCTGGGAATCTATCTGTTTTGATTTGGTTTTGGATGTGTGCATTTCAGGACCTAAATTACACTGGGGGTTTAGCTTATTTACACCAAATCCCATTGAAGTCTTCCATCCCATTTTGCTATCTCTGCTCACAAAGTGCCTTTTTGCCTCAAAAGGCACAACTCTTTCTTAGTTCTCCTGCCCAGTTCCTTGAGGAAATGAGTAGGCATGCAGCCCTGCTCACAAGTTGGTGCTGTAGTACTGAGATGACCAGGGAATCATACACCAAAACATGCCCTCAAAAGGCAAATTGTTGTGGTGCTTGGCAGATGGGAATCCTGGGAGTTGCTCCATATCTCATCTGTGTTCGTTTGAAAATTAGATGTAAAAGCTCTTTTGCTGTATAGACTCATCCATTGGAGGAACCTGTGTTTCCTTAAAGGAAAAGCTGAGTGGGCCCATGGATGCAGCTTTTCCAAGCACATTTGGTAAATATTGGACTTCATTCTCTCCTGTTTTAATCTCACTGAATATGTCTGCATTTTCTCACTTTTCATCATTTGTTTGGGGGATTAAAACTAAATGGATTCAGCCTTTGCAGTCATCTCCTTTCTCTTGTTACCATGAGTTTTGACTTCATCATAAAGTGTGAAGGGAGTGTAAATCAACAATGGGATCTTACCATTTTCTTTCTAAAATAGATGTTGTTTTGACATGTACTTCTACACTGTGGCTCAACGAGGGAAAAAAATAATGCCATATGCTTTCGAAGCAGCACGCCGTCTGCTGCATGGCTTTCTGTTTTCTAATACAGGCACTTGCCATCATTGTCAGAAGTTAGCAGTTTGACAAGAAAACTAGTGTGCTAACTAATGCACTGAGCCCATCCTCAGTTTTCATCACCACCAGAAATTAACTTTCAAGATTAATGGAACGGAGAGGGCTGGAATTCAAATCTCTTGTGGCATAATTATAATCCTTCCAAAAAATTCAATATATTTAATAAACTTTATTCCAAAGCAAAAGTCTTCTTTAAAGAGAATAGGATAAATCCCATGATTTTGGAGCCTGAGGAATTTAAAATGTTAATACTGGAATGTAGTGTTTTCAACTGTAAGTAGAGCTGGATGGGACAGGATGCTATAATGAGTCACAGCAGGAACGTGGATTAGAAACAGCCCTGTTATATGAAATGAAACACATCGTTTCACTTGGTTAAAGTCGTGACTTTCAATAAACAAACAACTGCATTTCAGAGAAGAAAGAGCAGTGATAAGCTAAACATAACAACAGAATCTGTCCAAAGGGTGAAACGTCACCTTGTTTCTTAACGTGATCTTGTCATTCATGCCTGCAACTGCTCTCACAAAGACTACCATAACTCCCTCCTCTTTGGCTGACCCAATTTCAGCCATTTTTGAGTGTGCAAAATGTTTCCCCCTTTGAGTGCTTTAGCTCAAGCACTCAAAGGAGTGAAAATCAAAGTCATCAAATAACCATGCAGAACTCCATTTCAAGATCCAATTTGAACTTCTTGTCCATGGGCTTGCTTACTCAAGCTTACTCCATAAAGTCATCTTTCTCTTTCATGCTTCTTTCCTCCTTCTGCTTTTTATGGGGGTGGGATGAGATGTTTTGTGGGAGTTTTTTGCTGTTGTTTTTACAGTTCCTCTCATAATTTCTGGTACAAGAAACTTCAGAACATCCTGCCATTTGGAACATACTTTTAAAATTTTTCTGCAATGTTTATTTTGATTTTAAAATAAGTTAGGCAGATTTTTTTCTGCTCACCATCTTAGCTCCTCTTTTGTTTAACTATTATTTGTTATACCTTATCTTTGTAGTGGAGTAAAGCAATTTGTGACACAGCTTGTATAAAGGACACTCACAAAGTGAAGTTTTTCTGAACACTCCTCTCTCCTCTCCCACAAAGAGTATCAGTATGTGTTTTAAATGAACAGTCAAAATTGAATCACAGGCAGCTCTGCTCTACAAAGGACAGTGATTCAATGTAATTCTAGATGCCTATTGAATCCTAATGTCTATGTGTCAGTACTCCATAGTGATGTCTTTTATAAATCAGTTTTCATTATTATATGTTGCTATTAAGACTACTATTAAAAAAGGGAGCAAGGATTCCTCAGATACATGTGTCTGTCTACTTTTTACACATAAAATGGCATTCATTCTTTTTCATATAGTAGGTAGCTTTTCTGATCATTTGCACTATATTGTTATTCAAATATAATAATATGTAATTCCATGTCAATTAGATCTGACAGGCCCTCTACACATGAATTTGTGACAACTGTCTTCCAAGCACTGGCAGCACAGGTCAACCAGTGCCCCTTGAAGCCACCTTGGAGGTGCAATTTCCCTAAGAAGTAGGAGAAGCGGCATTGATGTTAAAATTATTTTTTTGTTTAGTTCTTCACAGTCTCCCATCACTGTTGGCTTTTTGCAACTGGCACTTTGTAAGCAGTGGCTGGAAGGACTGTGATCATAATGCAGAAGTGTACAGTAAAAACAAAGAAGGCTTTTAGAACTGCACTGCAAATACAAGAAGCAATCGGGATTACCTGTGCTGGTTTTCTGCCTTGGGAATTCAGCCAGCTTTTCCCATGGCCTCTGTTTTCTCTGCTACAGATGAATAGAAGGAGTTCATTGCAGGTTGGGTTTTGTTCTCTTCCAAAATGAAGGGCATCTGATGGTTTCTTCCTGAAGAATGATTCCGGTTTCACAGCAATATCTTAGAATTATCTTATGGTAGTACTTGTAATCTTAAATTTGAACTGCAGTTCAAAGATGTTTTTTAGAGTTTTGCCATTTCACTAATTCATGGAAACTGTGAAAATACTTTTACTTCATTGTTATACGCATTTTCCTATTTTGTACTTTAAAGACTTTTGTACATTATATTCTGAAGGCATTTTTTGCTATAAAAATAGGCATTTTTTGCTTTTGCCTATCTTGGGCTATAAAGCTTTCATGGCAAGGACCATTTCTTTGTTCAATTGATTCCTTCTAAGGCTGATCATCTACATGGAGGCACTTGAGGTGTTGCTATAAGTACAAATTATAATGTGTTCTATATGCAAAAGATTAGTGAAAAGGAGAAACTGAAGGTATCGAACAAATGCCATTGAGAGTTGTACTATGTCTGAAGAGCGCAAAGTGCAATTCAGGGATGAGGTTTTTTTGTCTGAAATATACATTTGCTGACCTGCCTTGCCTGTTGGATTATATTGCAGTTTTGTCAGGAAGCAACTTTTTTTTTTCTTTCTTCTAATTCTTCTTCAAATGCCAGCTCACTGGAAGAACTCTTGCAGCTACTGCTCCTGAAGTTTAATTTATGCCTTTTGAAATAGCTACAACTTGTGAAGCACTGTCACTGGGGGAAATCAGATTGAAATTTTCTCTTGAATAGTTGGATTATTATTGTAACCACTTAAAAGGTGACAGGATCTTCACCTCAGCCTTTTTTTTTTCCCTGAGAAGTGTTGGAAATGTCAACCAGTTAAACCTCAGATCAGAGCGTCATTTAAAAACATGTCTCATTAAACACTCAGCTCTTGTTAGGACCCTGATGGATTAGTTGCTACTGAGTTTATGAAAAATGAAATGCATTACTTTTCCGAGAAGCTTTAACAATGTATTTTCCATTCTCATTTAGGATGGGAATGCCTGACACTTACTAAGCCGTTAGAATATGGCCTACGGCTCACCTAATTCAAAGGCTGGAGAATGAAGGAAAAAAGATGAGGGTGGAAAATAGACTTTTCTTTCTTTTTTAACAAGTAGCATTTGTCATGCTTTGCAGACTTTTGAAGGCAACACCAACTACGACACGCCTGAGCTGCGGACTTTTGAACCTGTATCGACACGATTCATACGTGTCTACCCTGAGAGAGCCACACACGGGGGACTGGGGCTGCGGATGGAGCTGCTGGGCTGTGAACTTGAAGGTAATTGCTCTGCTAGAAATGAATGCACTTTATTATTTTCATAAATACATTCTCTGCTTGGTCTGCTGCTGAAGACTGCTGTGTCTGCACAGGCAGCACATCGGACTCTCACTTCCGTGACTGCCATTAGTGCTGTTCCTTGGCCTATTCAGCTCCTCTCTGCAACATTTGAATGTGCCCAAGGCACAATTATTATTCTTTTTCCCGTTCCTTTGTTGAATCACAGTGATATTCTCCACATGGTTTTCCATTCCCTTAAACAGCCTTATGATTATACTTTTGAGAATCATAGAGCTATTAGGAGAGAATAAAGACAGGAACTTAAATTTTATGTTACCATGATACAACCCTGGAGGAGATGTTTTCCGAGAATGAAGAGGGAGCTTTGCACTAAATATAGTAATTACCTCCCTCTATCCTCCAAAGGACCTGAAAGTCACGCCACAATCTATGGTAGGCAAAGATCACTTGACTGGACCGTGTTCTGTGGTGTTACTTTTGGGGGGCAAAGGGGCCCTCTTTGTTCATTACTAAGCTTTAATTGTGCAAGAGTATGTAGGAGATGAAAGACCAGGAAAAGCAAAGTTTAGACATTTGTCCTTGGACTGTGACATGAAGTCCGCTTTGATTTTTGTTATATAAACATAATTATTTAACTTCATAGATAACTACAGATAACACTATGTGAATTTAACAATTTTATCTGGTGGATGATGACACAGTGGTGAGGTTTATAATCCACACAGCTTAAAAATACAGAATAACAAACCATATTATTTGGGGTTTCGTATGACACCTCTTATAGAAGCAGCTGAAGAGGCTCCCAAGATGAATGGAAACAACTGCTCTACCTCCATTTCTTTCTCACCATTTCCCCCCAAGAGGGAAGTGTGGGAGGCATTTGCTGTGAGAACTGATGAGTTCTGTGTTGTTTTTTTTAGTTTAGAGATTGAATTAGTATGATTTTACTTGGCCCGGAAAGTGGGGAGGCTGGAAATACTTCTTAGTTCCCGCAGGAAGTCCTCATTTCCTGTGGGAATACTTAGTTCCTGCAAACTATTGTGCTGCTTGATCAGAAAAAAAGAAAACCCAGCACCTGCCTTATGTAAACTCACAACCTCTGGGCAAAGCCCTTCAGCCACAGGGCTCCTGTAGCCACCCAGCCATCCAGGAGTGAGTCTGTGGGCCACCTCACAAGAATATATTGCTCAGTGAGATGGAGGACCCTTTGCTTTTAGGCAAACTGAAATAGCAAGTACGTTCTTGTTTTTCCATCGGGACACATCTTTTCACATTCTTTCTTCTTGCTATGGTATACTTTTGATGTATGCTCACCTGTAGGTCACCCATGAACAGGTGAGGTCAGTTCCCATTTGCCTGTGGGAGAAGCACAATAATGCTTAGTGTTGTATAATTGCATCTTAAAGAGGGATTTGAATGAAGTCTCCTGAGATTTACTGAGCAAGAAAGAGTTGAGATGAGAAAAGAAGCATGGAGGTTGGCACAGAGAGGAGTAGAAATCAGCTCTCCAGCAGTAATGAGCAAGGGCAAGTTTTGTGTGCTTGAAGCACCCCAGGGGGGCATATATGAAATGATGGCAGAGATGTAGGCAAGCTTGAGGCTATACAGGGACACAAAGATCAAGATAAGAAACTTAACTGGATGTAGAAAGCTAGAGGGATCCCCCAGAGGGTTTTTTACAGCAATGTGGGTAACAAAATGTTCTGCATAATTCATAATACGTACAGAACTGTTTCTTTAACTAGGGATAGATTGAACCTGTAAAGCATAGGTCAGGATCCTAAAGAGGCATGTTTTATCCCATAATATAGCTACTTCAAAAACTACCACCTCTCCTGACATTTTCAAGCCAAGAATTCAGTGTATGTGATCTTCTGTGGCCAACGGATGCTGAGGGCAGTAGAAAGGAAAAGAAGAATCTGCAAAAGGCATACGTTATTGCATAGCCTATAATGAGTGAAAAATACTGCTAATGAAAATAACAGTGAGTGAGAAGAGACAAAAGCCTGGATCACATTCCAGGAGTGCTTATCTTAAGCCAGGGAACTATACGTGCGGCATGAAACACAAACGTAAACGTAGCACCAAGTCTCGGTGTTCTGGTTTTCCAGATGTGGTGTGCTTTGCAGATTCTGGGCTATGTGTTTTCTGGCATCTTACACAAACCTGAAGCTCTTAACTGTAATAACAAGGTTCAGAATTTTACTGGTTAGGCAGCAGCTACCGGAAAGTCATCAGCAGTGAGAAGCAGGCAGGTGGCCGGGAGGGATGACTGACATCACTCATATCTTATTTATTTATAACTTCAACAAAAAACAAAAGAAACACCTTCCATGTGTCCTTATTGAGCACAAAGTGATTCCACATCACACTGCCTTCCTGCTGCTGCTACCAGAACCGTGCTCAGACATTTCCTCTCTTATGTGTGCGCTGCAGAGAGGTTTCTTCAGTAACTCATTGGGTGCTAGAGAATTTCCGCCTTCAGCATGCACCCCCCTCCTTCTCTGCACAGGCCCACTCCCTGGGACTTGAGGGTGCAATAAAATTATGGGGTCTCTACCACACACACAGCCCTCCAGGACTCTCATTCTGCCTTGCCAGGCTTTCACTATTCCTTGACAGGAACAAACACTCAGTGAATAGACAGTCTGGGGCTTTGCTGCCCAGCTCTGCTCAGCCCTCGAGCTCAGATAGGTCTCAGTGCAGGAGCCAGAGCAGATACTCCTCATTCCAAAGTACCAAGCAACCTGCAAAGTAGAGTTGGTTCAGACACAACACATGGTGCTCATCAGGACATTACTCCCAGCTGCAGGCTGGTTCTCCAGCTCGTGTTTTAACCGAACAACTGGGTTTTGTTTCAGCTCCGACCGCTGTCCCTACCGTTTCCGAAGGCAAGCCTGTGGATGAGTGTGATGATGACCAGGCAAACTGTCACAGTGGCACAGGTGATGACTACCAACTGACAGGTGCAGAAACCATCCTCATTCCATTGCAGATTCATTGTAGCTCATATCCATCACCAGCTTAATGTTTGCACTGATTTAACCACTCAGGATTAATGGGCATTAGTATGCAGTTTGTATTGTTAGTGCTGTCAAAACATGGGCATCTGCCTTTTACATATGACAATACTTTTGATTGTTTTCTCAGCTATGTAATTTTTGAAGAAAATAATAGTGACTAGATGGAAAAGAGGGCAATTTTTTGAGTGGTAATTGTGTCTAATCAAATCTTCTAATCAAACTTTCTCTTACTAAGAAGAAAGGCTGGACAATACTCTTGACATTTATTTTCTGAGATTGAAGAACTTGAAATATTGCTTGGTTTACATATAAGCTTCCTACCTAAAACTTAGTATGGGACACAAATCTCATCCCCAAACCTTTCCCAGTCAGAAACAAAACAGATTTGTTTCATCAAAGTGCACTGCCACATACTCACACTGCCAGAAATATTCCCATGAGCTTCCCTTCCTACACAGCATTACAGCCACAGAGGGGCTGATGTTTTCCAAGCTGCCATCACCAGCAGAAAAGTAGGAGGGGGAGATGTAACATAGACAGCATCTGAAATAGAGGAAGCTTGCTAGGTTTCATATCCTCACACTTCTGCACAGAATCATTAGTTCTTCTAGACAGCTGACACTGCATCTATATGTTTTTGATCTCTTGTTGGAGGTCACTTGTTCCACAAATCTCTGTGTCTGTTTGATTAGATCTATACATCTGCAGTAATTGAGGTTGTTTTTAGATGCAGTGACACAAGTTATTTCATCACTGCTCCCTGATGTGCTCATCTAATAAATGTTTATTGCTTCTTATATCCATGACATAAAATAGCATTAAAATCTGGCAATAGCTGTCCAAGAGGTCATTGGGTGAGCTTAGGTAAGAGATTGGCTCTTTGGAATGAGCCAAGTAGAACATCAGGTAACAGATACAAATGAAAGTGAAATTTCAATATCAAACCCTTTCTGAGCTTTGCCAATATCTCCTGTAATTGAAAGCTGCAAATCATAAATTGAAAAAACAATTCTTGAGTGGAAAAGACAGTGCATGGTCACTGTCACTGCTTTTCAAATCAGTGTCTCAGATTAACCTTATTCTTTTTGAAAACAGCCATGAAGGGAGTCTGATAAAATAGTCTGTATTGTGTTAAGGTAGCTCAGAAAGCTTTCAATGTTACTAAACAATGTAATTTATTTATTTATTATTCTGAAAAGAAGGAGGCAGGTCAGGAAACACTAGAGCTTCCTGCAGAACCCTACATTGTCTTGCAAAGCCCAATAGGTAGAGACATACTGCACATAGAGGAGGCTCTGTCAGGGAAAGCAGACAGATCTATGCAAGCACCTTCCATGTACATAGTCTGCACTTCAAGGAGCTCAGGACTCCATCCCACATGTCCCTTAGGGAACGTTTATTGAGCAGAAGGAAAACCTTCCACAGTTTCTGCTGGTTGTGTTTAGGGGGCAATTTATAATCTCTAAGACAAGGGAACAGCCGCCAACCTTCCTGAGCACAATCTCTTCCAGGGAACTGAATGTTTTTCAGCATTAATATTGAAAATTACTGCATTGCTCTCCTACAAAAGTGTAGACACTTAAGTACAATTTATTATTACAACACCTAGAAACCCTAGGCAGTGCATGCCCAGTTCTGGACATTGGAGGAATGATGCATTGTACATATGGTTTTACTTACAAATGCACAGCAAAATGCACAGAACTGATTTTACCAATAAATCATTGTAAACATTCTTTTCCTCCTCCAAACTGCATAGAAGGCACGTGTGTGAGTCTTGCGGCCTGTTAAGGATAGCAGGGCAGTGCAGAGGGGATTTCACCAGTGCCCTGCCATCTCTCACCCGTTCCCGGGGCAGGCGCTCGCGGGCGCCGCTGCAGAGTCGCTTCCCTGACAGCACTTGCACATATGTGAGCAGCACAGTGAAGCCTCCCTTGCAATTAACTGTAATTGTGCTGTAGGCCAAATTCCTTCCTGCTCTATTTGGACCCCATACAGAGCTACTCTATTTGCGTGGTTTATAGCATTTCCCATCAGATCGTTCTCACAAACATAAAGCTGATACAGCTTGGGCATTCATTCTCATTGGAAGTCATCACAGTCATCCTTTCTATAATGCTTTAAGCACTTGCTTGCTGGAGAAAAGAAAAACAGGAGTCATTGACTGGTAATCAGCACCCCACCGTGCATTTATAATTGTACTAATTTCCTTTTTGTTTCCTTATGAATATGAGGCTTGCTTTAAAAAGTCAAGTATTTTAAAAATATCAATTAGTAAGCCTAGGAGAGGGCCATGACCCCACTCACCTCTTGTTTATCTGCATGAAGAAAAGGACAAAGGGGAAGTCCTTAATTCTTCCTTCACTTTGAGACAGAAGTGAAACCTACCTTAGACTAGATCCTAAAGTCTGGCAATTTCCATGCATCTCTCCTGTGAACTGGTCTCACAACTTACAGGGAGCTATGAAACAACTTACAGGGAGCCCCAGTTTTACCTCACATCCCTGGTATGAGAAACAGCAGGTCATGGGTAAATGAACAAAATAGTGACTCTTAGGAGGTGTCATGAAGACCAGCTGCTCACTTCCCATGTGATTTGGAGCAAATCAGTGTCTATAAATCAAGGACGGTCACAGGCACATGTTGAGGATGATTTAGTTGGTGTTTGCAAGGGCTCCAAAGATATGCAGCTTTATTTAATGAAGAGTTCTTGTGGGGCTTTTTTGATAAAGGAAACCAGACTTTTAATGTCGTATTTTCATGCTTAAGCTCGCATACTCAGTTACCTACATGTCTAATAAAGACAGTAATATTTCAGGTTTATATATAGGTTATTCCTAATGACTGCTGTGTCCTTTGTTGTGTCACATGTATCATGATATGCATAATTTCTTTTCCAGGTGGGACTACAGTGCTGAATACAGAAAAGCCAACAGTAATTGACAATACATTACAACCAGGTAAAAAAAAATTCTTATTAAAACCACAATAAATTCCATACCCAAATTTCATGCCAGAGACAAAATAATGAATTGCAGCACTTCCTGACTTACCATTCCTTGAAGTCTCTGAAGTAAAGAAGCATCTGGTCTCTTAGCTCTGTACAGTAAATATTTTATTCCTTTCATCCACATGTAGATACAGCAGAGAACAAGATTTCCTTCTGCATCAGCAAATGCCAAGTGCTGACAAAATTAAACTAACTTAATCACACAGTGCACTGTTTAAATGTGGCATGTCAGTGACACAAAGTGTGTTTGCAAACTCCAGGAAAACAAAAATCGCCACACAGGCCCACTCACTATTTATATCCATGGTTTTACAAAACTAAGACAAGTAAAGTTTGCCAGTTTTTTTTCCACCAGGGAGCTGGCAGTTCTACAATATTGTTTTCTAGCAAGTTTACTTGAAATGGGGTTACATAAACTGCTACCATGTACTTGAAAAGGGAAAACCAAGTTGTCACTGGCAGCAGGTCCTTGTTACTTAATACAATACCTAGAAGCTTTTAAATTCCTTAGTTTGCTGCTTCCTCAGCTTTCAACCATTTTTTTTTTTAATATCCTGTACAATTTACTGGGAGAGGGGGAGAGGGTGGATTTGGGCAGAAAACCCAAACTCCAAAAACTATAAGCACTGGTTAAAAATCCTTTGCATCAATAATTGTGGAGCAGTAAAGAGGTCAGTTTTCAGTTACTCCCATTTCCTCCATTAAAGCACAGTCAGGCACAGTCTTGCAAGTGATTTATTAACAGGGTGGGTAAATGTTTATCATTGTTTCCTCAACCATGTGACAGAATCCACTCTTGCTTCAAGTGAAAGAAAGGGACTAATAATGTAAAAAAATTCCTAAAGGACACTTACGATGTTGATCTGATTAAGAGATAGAGCTGACTTAGCTCAGATGTTGTTCCCACTCTCAGCCTCTGCATTCACATATTGCAGAGGCCAATGCTTTTACTCTCCTCAAAATTTGTCTCCAGGGTCACCCAGCTGGCTAAGTCAGCATACACTATTTTTACCTCTGCCCTGCTTTATGAGCAGAGGCAAATCGTGGAGCACCAGTGCAATGAGAAACACAACAGTGAGCCAGTCCCCCCTGCTGGGACACCTCTCCACCCTCCCCTTCACAGTCAGTGCTGCTGAAGGGCTGGAAGGCTGCTGCTGATCTCACAGTTCTGCCAAGGGGTTGGGAATGCAGAGGAAGAAAAGGTTCTGTGCAGGGTATTTAGAGCAAAGCATTTTAATTCTTATATCTGAAATTGTCTGTTAGGTTTTCTATTTTGATGACATTAAGGATTTTTTTTACAGTTTTTTAAACTGTCTCCTTGCATTTAAACAAATTGCAGATTTAGACAGTACCTCTGTGCAGTGCAGTTTCACTCCCTCCCGAGCAGTGCCAGCTGCTCTGCAGTTTCTGTTCAATCCCCTTGGCTTGGGTGGGACTCTCCAGAAACAGATTGACTCTTACTACCAGAGATTAAGATATCCTCATTTTTCTCTCCTTACTTCCCTCCTGCACCACCTTTGCTTACTCTGCGATGTGCCAAGTTTTTTTTCCTCTATTAAAAGAGTTTCTGAGGCTCTGTTCAGAGCATGCCAGTGTTACTTCCCTGCATTGTGCTGGTAGGAACCATTTCCTTCCGGGGAATAAGGGACGAGTTCACATCCCAAACTCCAGGCTCCCACATGGCAGCACATTACACAGATCTTAGATAGAGATCAGCCAGACGCTAATAAATAAGAATAAGGTTTCCAGAATTTCCAGTTTAAGACATAAAGGTTTCCAGCTGCCTCATAATCCCTCACTGAAAACCAGCCAAAAACTCCCAAAAACGGGCAGACAGAAATTTCCCTCAGCATGGGGAAACCCCTTCTGGCCTGGGGGTGGTATGAACACTTCCCTCTGCTGAAGCGGCATGGCTGCACCCGAGTGCCACAGTGCAGCACAGGGAGCAGGCCCGTGGAGTCCTGTCAGCCACAAATAACGTGGTTTAAACTGCTCTTGAAGTTCCATGGCTGCGTGGGGCCCCTGGCCCTCTGCTGCCTCAGGATAAGTGCACTCCGTGGGGTAAATGATGAGCTCCAAGCCAAGGAGCTATTCCGGATCAATTGCAGTTTGCAGGCTCCAGCAGGTGACCCTGCATCAGCTCCATGGTGCCAGTGGTGGCCACAGCAGCCTGTGCCACAGTGCCAGGGGACAGAGATTGACCAGCCTTGCCAGCAGCAGCACCTGCCATGGCACAGGTACTCTGCAGGAGGTGCCAGCACCACGTACTGCTGTCCTCCTGCCTGCATTCCAGCCTGCAAATATCCCTAATCTTGTTATACCAGACTAACGTGCTTGTGTGTGTCAAAGCCTGAGATTATCCTATTCCAACCAGCTTTCATACACTATGGAAACAGTTAAGAGCAAATAGCTGGAAAGCCTCTGTATAAAAACAAGCTGTTCCATCAAGGAGTCATTTACATTACATTTCAAGGGGACTCAAAGAAAATAAAAAGAATCATGATTTCAAACTGCTAAAAGTGTTTAAAGGTTTGGATTTATTTTTTTTTTTAAGAGAGGATCTAGTTTCCTCCTCAAACTTAAAAAGATGCCTTTTACAAATCCATTTGTCAAGGTAAATACCTCAGTTCTCAGCCCTGAGTCTTTCTAACATCTCGTCATTTTTGAGCACATATTTTTCAATTCTAAAGGACTATTTGAAATGCTTGTCTCTTAGCTATTTACATACAGAGCAAGCTGTTAATTTACATTACGTGCTCTCAGTGTGTAATCTGAGTCCTTTGTAAAGAAGACTGTTCTGAGAAGTACCTTGTTTTTCACACATGTAATAGCTATGTCAGAAAAATATAACTAAAAATATTGAAGTTAAAATCTCTGCTAAAAATAATTTAAAGGTAGAATAGGTCTGATTCTCAATTATGCTGGAGCAATTTTTTGTCAGTAAAAGGATATTAACGCAGTTAAATTATCATTTACTATCATTTAAGGTAATTCTGTGCTGCCAGCATAAATGGTATAAAAATGCAAATACAAATCAGACCAAATATACTACTTTGAAGTGGTCCAAATTATGTTTGTAATTTCCTATTTTAATGTTGATTTACCCTTTGGCAAGAGCATCTTAGAGAGCACTTTCATATCATTTTTAATGCCATCATGCTTCTTCTTGCCTCTTGTTGAAGGAGTTATAAAAATATGTCAAAGTCTGTGGGCCACGAAAGATTAATGGACTCACAAGAAACTCACTCAACTAGATTTTCAAATTACTTTCTTGTTCATGTGCAGTAATGGTCCCAGCTGTGAGCAAGATGTGGTCAAAAAGTACAGCTGTTGGTTATTCTTTGAGAGGATAAATCTGTTTTAATTCAGTATCACGTACCCTACATTTTGAAAAAGGCATATGGGATTTCGTCACACCTCCCTCTCAGATTCTCATCTGAGCTGCTGCTATTTGATTACATAATAGCTGGTTTTCTTTGTCCTCTCAATACACACAAACCCAGAGATCAATCACCTATTGGCAGGAGAATTATCCTAGCATGGGAATGGGCCAGCAATGCAGAGGGAGCCCAACAATTGTTACTCGTCCCTAGTTTCCTTCCTTCCACCAGAGCTGCCAAGCTATAGTTCAAGGACAAAGAAGAGGACAGATTGCCTGTAGCTTGCTGTGAGCTACTGTATCAGGCCCCGGGGACCTTAAATAGGAGGGCTGAACTAGCCTGTCTTTTCTGGGGCAGATCCATTGTCCATACTGAACCCTAATGAACCTATCCTGATGCTACAAGTGTCCTTTATTAATTGGCTAGCAGGCCTATTTTTCCTTTTTTATGAGTCCCTGGGAGAAGCACTGGAAGAGGCATAAGAATAGGCAATAAGAGATGGCATGTTTAAGAAGCTTGTAAAATAAGAGCACTCTGAAATGCCTTGCCTTTGACCTTCAATCCCATTGCTGTGATTGTCTAAGGAACATAGTAACACAATAACTTCTGAGAAAACAATAGGAACCTAGCAAGAAACAGCTAACTGCGTGCAGGTACTGGTCAAATTCTCCTCAGTTTCAGTGGATTCTAGTTCTGCATGGAAAACAAGTTCATTTTTATGCTACACCATGCTGTCTCTAGAGTCTGAAGCCAAGGAACACAGGCATGGCCAAAGCATATCAGACTTAGGCTCTTTGCCAATTTCCTGGACTATATATTTCAAATGAAAGTGTAAGAAACTATTTATTAGATGGAGCTGTGAAATTTAGCTCTCTTTTGAATCTCTCCTTCTGATTCCAGTGTTCAGAACAGTCATCAGAGCATGAAGTAAAAGGCTTTTGTCACTTCCTGCATTTTAGAATTAACTGTTAAATTCTGGATGTATTCCTTGTCCATGTCAGTGTCCAGTTCTCTTTGAATTGTGCTCAATCTTAGAAGCATTCAAGAGAGCAAGTACCACTCACATCATATGAGAATTTTTTTCCTTTGATCCACATTGAGCTTAACTGGGTATCTCACATTACTTAGGCTGTGAAATGGAGAAACCAGAATATTGTTCTGTTCTGAGCCTCTGGATTCATCATTAATTTACATACTTCTCCTATGTATTCTGCTATTTATTTTTATTCAGAGTTGAACAATACCAGTCCTATCTTTGTGCTATGGGCTCATTTCTTCTGTGTGGTATCTTCAGATGGATGTGAACTATCTACCACTATTCTCCTTTCTTGTGGTTTGAATACCACACAGGCTATCAGTACTTTGTGTGATATAATCCTTTGGGATTAATAAGATTAATTTTGTTCTACATTTTCTAAAACCTTTTCTAAAGTTCTGTCTCATGGCTCTGATGTCAAAGCCATGCGATATAGCTCTCCCTAGGCCTCCTTGACAATGAAAGGCTATTTGTCACAATCTTAAAACTCTTTAATTCATTGCAATGTCACTCTGTTTCTTTTAAAAACCTCTTGATTTTCAGATGTCCCCTTTTGGGCAAGATGTCTTTGATCATGGCCCCATTGTCTAGAAAAAAATACCTAATACACTGACGAAAGAGACATAATTGCCGAATTGCCTTTCTGCACTCATGTGTGCATAGACTGAGTTCTGCTTCTTCGATATTTTGAGCCCAAAGAGAGATTATTCACCACGATCTGCTTTTTTCCTGGAAAAGGCTAGGGTGCTCCAGGAAACATCTTTCCTCCACATTGAATTCCTGTGCCAGACATTATCTGTTGAATTCATTTGTTCCCAACTAGGATGCTGCATTCGTGACAATGTGGAGTGGACCCCTCTGGAGGCCAGCAGGAGAGAGGGGGGAGGGAGACGGGATGGGGAGGATGAAAGAAAGGAGTGAAGAATGAGGGCTCAGTGCCGAGAGACACCACAGCTCAGCCGAGGTACTGACAGGCAGAGCAGAGGGGCAGGAGCTGCCATAGGCTCAGATGTCTCTGCTGACAGAAAGAAATTTTCTAGGGGCCATAGGGGAGAGGGCACAGTGGCCACAAAGCAGGAATCCAGTGTGTTGAAAAAAACTCTGTCTGAGAACAAGGGCCTGCCAAGCAAGGACACAGCAGGCAAGGAGAGAATGATAGATGAACTCTTTTTATATCCATTCTGTCTCAACCTACTCACCTGAGGTTTTTTGTTGTTAAAATTATTATCCTAGTTTACCTTCCATCAAAATCTGGGTTGTGAGTTCAAAAGCCTTACCAGTCTTCTCTGGCAGCTCAGTACATGCAGGAGTTCTTAGCCTCTTCAGACTGGAAGAGCTCTACCTCAAAGGTCTGGCCAACTGCAGGTCTCAACACACTTCCCATATTTCTCATTATTTTCCCACAATAAACAAGCACATTCTAAGAGTTGCATTATCTTTCCTGGCTTTTTTTTTATTAATAATGGGCAAGAAATACAATTCTTCCCCTTGAGCTGATATTGATGGAAGCATAGAGTCCTTTGTTCTTAGTTCATACTTGCACAAAGCATCTCATTAAAGTAAACCTAAGTTATTCCTTTAATAAGGTGTGAGTCATGCCTGAGAAAATACTCCAAGATTTGGTCACATTGCTTTTGGGAGGGTATTGCTCTACTGGGAGTTGTCACTGCTCAAGGTGAGATAAAAGTTCATACCAATGGGGTAGCAACCGAGGGCTGAAAAGATTTCAAACTGCTTCTGAAAATAAGAAATGCAAAGGATTTATACGCTATCTTTGTATAATCTTTCCATTGAAATTCCTAGTTCTATTGAAGAAAATAAGCTACTATGTATTAAACCTTTGGGCAGAATTGAAAAGAAGCTGAAAACAAGATATGATCTCATCCTGACCATAATACCAGACTTCCCTTATTTTACGCAGAGCTTGTTTTGAAGCTTATTTTGAGTTCATTTGGCAATCAGCCACATTTGTCCCTTTTCCCTCTCAATTTGTCCATTTCAATGCTGCCATCTTGTGGGCCTACTTAACTGTCTGGAAGATGCTGAAAAAAGTTCTTATTGAAGCCAAGAACTGTAGACTTCACCAGAAATCCTTTTCTGCCAAGGACATTCCATTAATGTTCCTGATTGTTCTTATTTATTTCCAAATCTCATTGAGAGTTGCAAATTGTGGCACCATTACAGAGATATTGATAACCAGAAAATACATCTGATAAGTAAGCCAGAGCTTGCTTTATGAGTCTTCTGTGCTGCAATGCGGTTATCAGATAATGCGGGCAAATCAGAAGACTTAATCTAACCACAGGAAAAAAAATCCCATCATATGGGTCATAAAGAGACAAGAAGTAACCACATCTTTTACAAAAAATAGTGATTTTTCATCTGTTTCCCAGGAGGGCTGTTCTTGCTATGGCTTCTCAGAGTCTCGGGAAGGAATGGTTCTACTAATGGTCAAATGCATGCATTTATTTTGAAGTACAAAATCTGAATCATGCAATTAATAATCACATTTCATCCCCCCCTTTCCATCTTTCCTTGCAGAGCCACCGCTATACAACTGTGGCTTTGGCTGGGGATCCCAAAAGACTTTGTGCCACTGGGAGCATGACAACCAGGTGGATTTAAGGTGGGCAATCCTGACCAGCAAAACCGGGCCGATTCAAGACCACTCAGGTAATCATGAGTTCATGATGTGCTATTTTACTCAGGATGAAATTGTTCTGTTTAATACCAATGTCTTCCAAAATCACAGGAGAGTGAATTATATCTAAAATACATAAAGTCACAAAGATGGTTCTCTAGTAAACCTAATCCATTACCAGTAATCACAACTGGCTGTAATTGTCCTTTCTGTTGGGGAATAAAGATTGCTTCTTGTCAGGAACTGAAGATATTCCCTTCCCCTGACTTGCCTTTGGGTAATCATCACCTGGAGTAGAAAAAAATCTGAATGACCAAATATTTTGCAAATATCACTGACCAACTAATACAGTCAGGCAGTTAATGACATCACATTATTCCTGTTTGTAGTTACAGGGGCTACCCACCACAGGAAAGTGTTGTATGTAAGTGAAACTTCCCAGATGGGTGTGTTACCAAGCCCCTCTCCTTTCCAGCAGGAGCTAGAGATTATGGCCATCCTCTGCTCACAAATAGTTTTTCAAGAAATATCACGCTGGGGAATTGATTGGTTTGTTTTGCAGTAACTAACTCATAGCTCAGCATAATTAGGCAATAAATTTGCTGCAGGCTAGTGGAGAAGGGAGGGCACTGTGTGACCTGCACAGCCTCTTACTTTAGCATTCTTGCTTGCATACGTGCACATTAATCAAATGGGTTGAGATGAATCCCCCTTCCCACTTCTGCTACCCTTTGCTTAATGAGAATGACAAGGAAATTAGACAAAATTGGACTTTTTAAATTCTGAGACACTTTCAATTGAATCTTAAGACAAGTACAGTAGTTTCAGGGGGAAAAAAAAACTTGTAATACTTTGACTATAAATGGCATTGTACAAATAAATGGCATCAAATTAACTAAATGCAGTTAGCTGAAGTGAAGGCTGTAATGGTGGAAAAATTGATGTAGAGTAAAGTGAAATGGCTCAGTAGGATCTGACATTGAAAGGAGGTTAAAAGCTATGTTAGCCAGAGACTGACAAAATCTAAAAGGCATGCATAAGTAAAGCTCTAATTAAGACAATGAAGACAGAGTTCCTGACCTGGCACTGCAATAATATTCTGAAAATGAGAGCTATCTGCACTTTGCCATCAAGGATTATAGAGAGAGAACCTATCTTCAATCAGGACATGAAGAAATTATATTCTTCAAATGAGATTTTGTTGTTTCCACTGGTCCCTGCTAGTACAGAAAACTTATTTGTTCCATGAGCTATAGCTTTAGTAAATCTTAAAGGCAGCCCCTTTTTCTTCTATTGCACTTTCAATATTTTCCAAAATTCTCCTTGAATTCTAAGGGCACCTTCTCTTGCCAGGTTTGTGGCCTGCCTGCCAGCAGGCACAGAGCGAGTGGGGTGGGTGTGAAAGCAGACCATGAGCAATCTGAATGGCACTGATGTCCCAAACAAACCCTCAGCTGCACAACAAGGCCACCCCATGTATTGAGAAAACCACAGTGAGCAACTCCCAGACATATCTTTCTCTCATTCACATGTGTAAAGCTGAAAAAATGCACAGAAGAAATTTTCAACAGCAATTGCTTGTAGACGGCAGGATACACAGCATGTCACTTCAAATTATATACCTTGTGATGAAATCTGGCCAGTGTTAGGTCTTCCAACTCAGACAGCCATCCTAATGCTGTGATTATTTTCCTTTTTTCCTCCCAATGGATTTCCCCATTCTTTGAAGAGATTTGCACGTTGTGCTGCTCTGCACAGAAGCGAAATTGGAAAGAATGTATAGGCAAAAGCATTCCTGCTTAAGAAGCTGGACAAGATGTTACTGCAGAAACACAGGGGGAAAAAAAAGCCTAAATTTATTTTGCAATATAACATCATCTTCTCCTATAAAATTCTTCAACATGCATATTGGGCAGGATACCTCTACTGCTCATGGAAATATCCAAACAAAAGAAAACACCCTTGCCTCATGTTAGAAGAAATATGTTCCTTTCTTATTTATTAGGTCTCACCACTGGGTTTAACCCCCTCCTCTTCATTTCTGGTTCCCATCTCACTACTCTGTCCTTCTTATGCTTACCAGAGCAGCAATGCTCATCTTCCTGTCTTCATTGATGTAGGAAGGACTATACCACTGCAATCCAATTATACACTATTTCATATGAAATTCAAGAATGTTATGTATAGCAAAGACCAATGCTGACAAAACACCACCCTTCCAAAATGTCTTATTTTGCCTCTTTTTACTTTTCTTTCTTTTGAGTGTTGGTATAAACAGTGATATAGGTACTTATTTCAGCAATACTTGAGAAATAGTATTTTTTATTATTACTTTTATCCTTCCTAGTCTCAATAGGGTGATGTCAATAAATGCTGACTCCATCCTTTTGTGTGAGTGCATTGCACATGCAATCTATTCTTACACACACCAGGATGAACTTTGTGTTTTTCCACCATGACTCTCTGCAAAGACACTGTTCAAAAGCTGACTGGAATGGATGTGTGGCTGTTGTAATTCAGAAGCACATCTCTATAGTCAGTATCTTACTTAGCAATTTTCTGTTACCAAACTAATCACACTCCCACATGCTTCTCTCTCAGCGTGATTGAGAAAGTAAGTTTCAAGTTAAGGGTGTTAGGTGTTCAGACTTCAACGAGTATAAATCCATTATGCTCTTGAGAAAGCTATAATCACCTATATATTATAAGCTATAATTTTACTCTTTCAGAAAAAAGGGCTCACAAATATATAGAGCCTGATATATTGTTACAAAAATCAAGGGCATAATTCTGACACCATCTGTGACAATGCTCAACCTCTGTTTGGGAACATACTTTAAATCTCAGTGCCTGATCTCTGGCCAGGGCTGCTCAAAGCCATTTCACCCTTCTCAGTGTTCTTCCCATTCTAATCTTGCCCCTTGAGCACAGATTATTTCAAACAGAATTTTTTTTTAATAGCTCTGCACAATTAACATAGAGTAGGCCCCAGGGATTTGTCTCTAGACTGCTGAACCAGGGATGGCTGTTTTCAGGAGGTGCACACTGACTAATGGAGCACATAATGCTGTCTCACCAAACGTGCTTGTGCCTCCTTCCCTTAACATAACAAATGCCTTGTGTGTTTCATGTGGTGAGCACGTTGTAAGGGTTCACTCTTGGCACAAAATATCCCAGTGAACAGCAGAGGAGATGGTCAGAGGAAAGTGCAGAATAATAGAATTGCCTGGGTTGGACAGGACCTTTAAAGGTCATCTAGTCCAACCTCCCTGCAGTGACCAGGGACATCTTCAAGCCTGACCCTGAATGTTTCTGGAGGTGGTGTGTCTTTTTCCTCTCTGGACAACTTGTGTCAGTGATTCACCACCCACCAAATTTCTTCCTTAAATCTAGTCTGAATCTACTCACTTTTAGTTTAAAACAATCACCCTTTAGGCTGTCACCATGGGCCCTTCTAAAAAGTTTGTCCTCATCTTTGTTGTAAGTCCCCTTTAGGGCTGAAAGGGTCTCCCCAGAGCCTCCTCTTCTCCAAGCTGAATAACACCAACTCTCAGCCTGTCCTCACAGGAGAGGTACTCCAGCCCTCTGATCAGCTTTGTGGCCCTCTTCTCAAAGCATATCACCTTTCCTAGAACTCCCAAAACAACACACTCTGACTCTCTTGTTTGTGATGCTTGACCCATCAGCACAGAAAGAAAGCAAAAAATATGGGGCGGTCAGGGATTCTTATGTTAACAAAGAAAATTAAAGCTGGTGGCTATTCTTAACACAGTCCTTCTGTCACAGTAGGAGATGGCAATTTCATTTACTCACAAGCTGATGAAAGCCAGAAAGGCAAAGTGGCCCGGCTGCTGAGCCCCGTGATTTACTCGCAGAACTCCGCGCACTGCATGACGTTCTGGTACCACATGTCCGGCGCGCACGTCGGCACCCTCAAGATCAAACTGCGCTACCAAAAGCCGGATGAATATGACCAGGTGCTGTGGACCCTGAGCGGGCACCAGGCAAACTACTGGAAGGAAGGACGTGTTCTTCTTCACAAGTCTGTGAAACACTACCAGGTGAGCTTGGCTGCTCCTTGCTGAGCTACCGCGGCCCAAGCCAGCAACGCCTTGCTGCTCGTGTGTTATACACCGCAGTAAAAGGTGTCACCCCAGGATTTATGTAGACAGTATTACACCTACAGATGAGCTACGTTTGCTGTGGCTAATAACAGTGAAATATTTCATGGTATCTCAGATTACTGTGATACAAGCACTTCGTTATTAGAGGCCAAATTAATACTTTATATATCATTTATCATCAGTCACAAAACTGCCTCTTTGCCACTGTTTTTCTGATGTAATATCTTTCATAAAGTTATGTCAGTACATAATTTACATTTACCTAAGTTCATAAAAGCAATGCAGATTTTCAGGCCACAATTGAAGCACAAGTGTGTCATCAAGTGAAGACGTGTGTTAACAACTGATTAAGAAATCCTGACTGCTACAGTTGTATGCTACCATGAAAACAATGTGAACACTGTGTTGTTTTTCCAGGTGGTTATTGAGGGAGAAATTGGAAAAGGAACCGGAGGAATTGCTGTGGATGATATTAAAATTGACAATCACATAGCACAAGAGGATTGCCGAAGTAAGTGTGACTAGCAAGAACATAGAGAGTTCTCATCCAAAATATTGTTTATTTTGTTTTGATAACTGGTTTTATCTGTGAGAAAGGGATATTTATTAGATATGTTTCCAATGAAAATATCCTGATTCAGCCCATAGCTTTATTCATAGTAAGTAACACTGGTGTCACCTTGGTATGGCAGCAGTTTGTATCAGAATTGGCATCCTACTGACATGGGTCACAGCATATTCATAATTTCATGTCTCTCCCTGTACTTCATATTGCTTCCCTCTTTAAATTTCTCTGCTTTTCCTGTGGCAGGACCCTGTTTTACCTAATGCAAAAAATCCAATTTTATTTCTTTGCCTTTTTTAGATAACTTATTATGAAGCCTTCTTAATATTTTTAAAGGGCCATTTTAAAAAATGGCTTACCCTTACAGGATAAGCACATAGGGTGAAAAGGCCCCTGCTCTGTCCTCTGCTGTCCTGTTATTCTGGGTTTTCTGTGGCTCATTTGCTGTAGTCGTCAGCTCCCAGACATGTGGGACACAAAGCAATGTTAGAACATGGCCTTTCCCATCTCTGAGCCAGGCTATTCCTGAGATGCTCTTTGAGCCCTTTTATTCCTGGCCAGTCTCGAGTTATTCCAGTCACTGCTGATCACATGCACATTGCATACTGCACGTAATTTGGCAGCAGCAGCCCCAGATAAACACAAGCAACAGAACACTGTCCTTCATAGCTGAGATAAAGCAATTACTTTTATATAAAAGAGGGAATAGAAATGAGAGCTCTTAGCATTAAGAAGATAAATCTATTCTGTGTGAGTTAACAATAAAACTAAGAGCAATAATAGAGGGTGCTCCTCACCTATTGTAGCTAATTACCTTTAGAGGGTAACGTGACAGTCTTCAGCTACGTGGTGATTTCACTGCAGGATGAGGAAACAATCTCTTCTTACCACGTGGACCAACTCCTGGGGTTTATCAAATGCCACCAGAGTGGCAGCTGGCAGGAAAGGGAGGCAGGACACACTGCTTAGTCCTCCTGCATTGTCCCCAGTGCCAAGAGAGGTCTTGAGACCACAGTGTCTGCATTTAATTGACTCCAGCATGAGAAAGGAAAACAACTTCTTTCCTACCTCCGTGTTTTGGTTGTTCAAACCAAATGTTGAGCAAAAATTTCTGCCTGAGGGAGCTAAACCCAAAAGCTCAGTCTGAAATCCAAACACAAGTGGTCTCGCTGCAGCCAGTGAAATGATTCTTGTGATTAACTATGCCTATGCTGATGAAGTGTTATGGAATTGGGCTCCAAAATTGTAAATACAGTGAACAAGATGCTAATTCATCACACTGATTTCTCTTTCCCAGGCATGGAAAACCCCTGCTGATATCTACAACTGTGCCAAGACTGGGCGGAGGGGAGTTTTTTAATCTTTCTTTTTTCTCCATTAATTTTCACAGCCCATTATAATGAACAGCTCTGTCAAGCCGCCATAATGATGCTCTGACACAGGAAAATCTGCTATACCATTATTGCCAGCATGATAGTCAATCAGTGTTTGTAACCCTAATAATCAATGTCAATTCTTTTGCTTCATTAGAATCAACTGATGTGGAGAATGAAATAGATGAAGAAGAAGACCCAGAAAGTAATCAAACAGGTAAAATTTGTGTTATTTCTTAAAAGGGAATGAATTTTAATGTGTATTTTAATGTGAATTTTTGCATTCTATTTATTTATTTATAGATTTGTTCTCTAACTGCATATTGTATTAAGGTGTTATGATTTTTCTGGATGAGATGATAAGAAGACGTACATTTATTTGAAGGTTGTAATAGTTTTATTCTTCCATGTCATATGGACTTATGCCCTTTTTATTATTTTGTTCTATCCCAAACATTTCAAATTTCATATAGCTATTTTGTTAATTATATTCATATACGTGCAAGCACATTATAGCCCCCAATATTTTGTTACCTAGAAGGTTTGTCCACTGCTGAAGAAAGCACTATCATTATATCTTACAATTTATGACTTGCATTATGCCTCAGTAATTAGGCTCAAAACTCTTCAGGTTAAATGTTTCACAGACCTGGCTGAAAATGCCATTTTATGACCAGTCTAGCAAAGCATTATCATTTCCAATGATGATAACGGTAAATGGATCATTAAGTGGATCATAATTGTCATATTGTTCCAATAATAAAATATATTTGCATTTTTCAGGCAATGAACTTAATTTTTTTCTGTTACAGTCAACAGGATTGCTATAATTGATTTCAGTGGAAGAGAGTGGGTTTGTTCAAAAAGACTTTTTGGCTTTTCCATCAACAATTACAGGGTTTGCTGCTTTTGGATCATTTTCATAAACTAAAAAAGTTGGGAGACAACATTATGATACCCGGTGAATATTTTACACAAGAGGGCAGAGTGCTCTTTTGTCTCAGTTCTGCCACTATTTGCACTTCAAGATCCAATCCTAAAGTCATTGAAGTAGAAATGAAATGGCTGGATATTCCCAACCGATGTCTAAGGCTCTAATCTCTCACACTGAGCTGAGTAGGATTTGATTAACATTTTTGAGCTATATACTGCAACATGGCAAAACATAATTAAAAGACCTCCTTATTCACTCCCAAGACTCCCACTTAATCCAAGGCAGAACCACAGCTCTACTAACAGGCAGGAGATTTAAAGATTGGAGAACAGAGTGGAAAAAATCCACAGCTATTTGGGCCACGTTACAGTTTTCAGTTATTTATGACCACCTTGCAGAAGCTAGGTTTTAAAATTATGTAAAAACTTATGTTAATAAAATCGATGGTCTTCTCAAAATTTCCAATTCATTAAACAAAGTTCTCACTAGGATCAGTTCTGAAAATTTTGCAATTCTTTATTCAATTTCAGGGTTTACACCTCCATACCGTAGCACAGGTGAAGACTATGATGACAACATCTCCAGGAAGCCAGGCAATGTCCTGAAGACCCTAGATCCAATCCTCATTACCATCATAGCCATGAGTGCACTCGGGGTGCTTTTAGGAGCCATCTGTGGAGTGGTGCTGTACTGTGCCTGTTGGCACAATGGGATGTCGGAGAGGAACTTGTCTGCACTGGAGAATTATAACTTTGAACTGGTCGATGGTGTAAAACTGAAAAAAGATAAACTAAACACACAGAATTCATACTCAGAAGCATGAAGGCGTAAAGCAACTGGAGACGTCAGAGAATCGGGATGGAAGGACATAGCTCGGTCGTGCTGGGGAACTGTTGATCTCTTACTGTACAGGCTGAAAAGTGCATTGATGACACTGAGCCAAGCTTTTCTCAGGAGCTTCAATGAGTGTGTAACCGATGAACATGGACAACAATCTGTGTTAACAACCTGAATCATGTACAGTCTGCTTCTTCTGTTGGTTTTATTTGAAATAATCGAATGCTGGTGTTGAGACCAAGTATGATTGACTTATAATTCATTTTGTCTTTCTTTCTCTCCCTCTCTTTTGTTTTCCGTTAATGGATAATTTTGTTTTTACTGTGCAAAATCCAAGATGCTGTCACAAAATGTATTCAGTGGGGTCCTTTGGATGGACATGCTGTCTGTAGCTCAGTGCCCAGAAAATATTGGAGTAACAGCAATTTAGTGGACTTCTGCACCTGTATTTGTGTATAATTGCTCGTGTTGTGCATAGGCAAAGAAGGGTTAGGATGTTTTTGAAAGTACTGCTGCATCAGTACCGATATAGCGTGTCAGCTCTGTTTACGAAGCAATACTGTCAAATTTTATTGATGTTTTTCAGTGTTGTACTGAATTTTGTGCTTGTGAACTCCATAAAAGAGTATGTGCCATCATCAGACACAACTGGTAACCAAGTGTACTGCCTAAAAACTAAACAAAAAAAGTCCTTGGCACTGGCTAGTGTATGTCCTCTCAAGTGCCTTTTTGTTTGTACTGCTTCTCATTGTGTTAACATTAACTACAGCTTCTCTGCAGTTACGCCCTTGTCTTTAATCATATTCTGATGGCTCACTGACTAAAAGAAAAGTATATTTTAGTGTAAGAAAACAGCCTCAGCCAAGGCAAGGGCTAATCGGTTTTGACAACCTGGCTTGATTGTTCTGCTTTCTGTATTTCAACTTCATGTCTCTTGACCCTTTTGTATAAAGCTGCAATATCCCCTTTTATTGTTCTTTCATATAGAATGTATTTTCAAATGTAAAATCTCTCTCCCTTTCTCTTCTCTTCTCTTTCCCTTTCTCTTTGTCTCCCTGAGTAGGTTTCATAAGCATTTGCCATTGCCAAGGAAAGAAAACTTCAGCTTTAACTTGCTGGTAATGGCAAAGGATTTTATTAGAGTTTGTGTTAAAAAATAAGGGAAAATTCTTAACTTTATCCTCCAAAGTCGAACTTTGGGTTTCTTCTTAACAGCATAAAATGACAGTATCTTTTTTCCTGATGTCATGAAACATGTCTTTTATCCTGAACAGCTTGCCTGTTAATTACACTGGGGAAAATGCTTCCCTCACAGAAAAGATTGCCTTTAAAACAAGAAACTTTCCTCCTCTTGCCCCTACCTGAACTCTTAGTTCTGCTCTCTCCGTAACCATGTATTTTCTAATCAATGCTAATTGGGCTTAGGAGTATGTACTGAGGGCAGAATTAAATCCCACAATGTATGTAGGGTATGTTCTTACCATCATGTTATATCCAATTGGCATTTCATACCAGGAAGTTTCTGTTTGACCACAAGTGCAGGCAGTGACCAATGCAGTGAACTGAGCACTCTCAGCCGTCGGGAGAATGTGCTTGACAATGATGGGGAATTTTTTTAAATATTTTAGGGCAAACACTATTGGTCAAATAATATTCAACAGCCTATGCAGCTGGTCCAACAGGGTAAAAACAAACAAGAGCATGTTTCCCACAGGGGTCTTACAAGGCAGTGAGATAGCAGAGGGGTCACTCCCCTCCTGCAGGTGCAAGGGGAGCCCCTGGGTTTCTGCAGTGACCTGCACACAGTGCAGCCATAAATGGGGGGCAACATCAGCCTCCCCTGGGTACCCACCAACCAGCAGAGAAAACCAGTGCAAACATGGGGAAAGGAACATCCTGCCAAGTGCTGAACTCATGTTTTTCCTCATTGAAATTCCTGAGTAGAGTCAGGGAAGTGATTGGGACTGAGTTAGTCTTTTTCCAAAATTGCTTTTGTAGAAGAGCAATAAAATATCCTGTCCAGGATTAGGATTAAAGAAGGGCTAATTCAGCCTTGAATTACTTGGAGCAAAAGAATCCACCCCTATCTATACACCAAATGCTTTGAAGTGTATAATTTCACCAGTATGAACTATAAAATAGAAAAATATGTAGAAAATCCACTAGTAACCCAGAAATGGAAGAAAAGGGAGGGAAACAGTAGGTGAAAATGAGGTTTGAAGTAAAAAATATTTTAAAGGAAGACCCAATAGAAAAAAAGCATGAAAAGTTGCTACTTAGAGGAGTCCTAAAGGCAATGACTATCCTGAAAACGCAAACACCCACTTCAGGTCATCAAACCTTAGATTGATGGAAGAGCTACCTCCCCAGCCTCTCAACCTTGGGTCCCCCAAAGGGTGAGACAGTGCACCTAAGGCCTGAAAGTTTTGCCTAAAAGTTAGTCCATGAGATGTCCCAAGCGACAGACTCACTTTGTCAGAGGTAGAATTTTCATTGGTTTCTAACACTGTAATTTGACCATAATGGCATTGCAGCAGCTAGTTAATTAACCCAAAGAAGAAAAGAATTTTTCAAAACTATTTTCAGCAGACCACCACTGTGTGAGTCAGGAATTAAGGGTCTAGTCTCCTTAGCTGAAAACCTTCTAGTCCACTAACTTGATGAAGAGTTACATGCTTATATTGCCTTGAAGAGAAAATCCCATTGAGGAGCCCAAATGCAAAACCTTTTGAAATATTCCCACTGATTTCAATAGATTCCAGACCAGCTCTGTGTCTTGATGTATTTGAACAGAAAAGCTGGTATTTGCTAGGTTTTTTCCTTCTTTTAACATACAGAGAATAGTGAACCTAAAAAAAAAATTATCTCCTTTGTGGTCTTCAGACATTACTATGATAATAAGGATCTAGCACTGAAGATTTGATTTCTCTGAAGGTAATAGAATTAAAGTTGCCCTTCAATAAAGGAAAAATGATACTGCAACTTTACATTGAAAAGTATCTTGCACTGATAAATATATTTAAAAAAATTATATGTTTATAAAGTTATTAATTTGTAAAGGCAGTGTTACAAAATGTTCAGTTTATATTGTTTTAGATTGTTTCATAATTTTTAAAGTGTAAAATAACATATTTTTTTCTTTATTGAAAAACTATAAAAATCTTCTGTAGTAAAATGATTTCATTTTACTGGTATATTATTGCTTCATGTTTTGTACCATCATAAAACTTTGTGCAAATTTTTTTTACAGAAATTTTTATTTTCTATGACAATATGACACTTGTAAATTGTTGTTTCAAAATGAACAGCGAAGCCTTAACTTTAAATGACATTTGTATTCTCAGACACTGAGTAGCATAAAAAAACCACATAGAACTGAACTGTAACTTAAATTTCCAAACTATGACTACTACATTCCAAAGAAACAGTTGAATTAAACATTTTCATAAAATATCCCTTAGCTGATGTATTTTATTATACTAGAATGGATTGGTTTTATTAAATGGATGGTTTTATTTAGCATCTTGCCACAAGCACAGTGTTTCAATCACCATTGTATTTGTCAGTAGGCAGCTCCAACAGACAAACCTTGGTGGGTTTGTTCATTGTTTAGGATAGAGGCATTCACCTTTGCCTACCCATTCTCTTTCCTTGATGGAAGACACTCCCACAGCCTGCTTTTTGGCCAAACAGCTGGGATTGAGGAGGACAAATTTGCCCCCACTGCCCCTTGCCACGGGCCACCCAACGTAACAGCCTGTGCAGGTGTTACACCCTCCTTGGGCAGGGGTGAGATTTACTGCCAAATACTGCCCATTTTTGATGTGTTACTCCACTAAGCCTCTGCTCCTGTGGTAAGGTTTGCACCAATAAACTCCCTGAAAATTTCCAGGGGAGTCATCTGGACTTACTCAACCATGGCCAAATTTCCCAAGGCAGAGCACAAGTTGATGACTGGAGCAAATGCAACCAAGATGGTCTGTTGAGCCTGGTTTGGCATCAGTTGGGTGCCAAAATCACCTGTGGAACACATGGTCATGTGCAGAGAGGCCTTGACAAAGCTTGCATCCAGATCAGAAGCTTTAGATTTAATGTTTCCTGTTTTATGCAATGCTTACCTATTTTGTTTCCTTTTAATACTCAGCACTCTGCACATTAAAGTTTGACAAATCTTTTCTTTACATTGCACACATGAACAAAGCACAGACTGTCAGTGTGTCATTAGGTGCAGTATAAACATTTTACTTCAGCTACTTTACTACTCATGGGAAAAATGCCGTACTTATTACCATGTACTTGATCATTGTTAACACTTGAAAAGAATGTATTGAATCTTGTCTCCTCAAGGGAGCAGCGTCGTGTGTACCTGTTTAAAACATGAGATGGAACTCCAGCAAGCACCTGAGCAAAATCTCTGCTCAGAGTAGGGATGTTGTGAAAGTTGTTGTCCATAAACCATTATACCCAAATTCATTAGAGGTGTACTTCATAGCACTCTGTGTGCTTCTATGATAACCAGCGACAATTAATGGCAATGAAATTGATCAGTGAAAAAGGGAAATCTATAAAGTGAATCTGTTGAGGATGAAGCTCAAGAAAGACAGACAAGTATTTAAAGTTAAGAAATTTCTCTTTCATTCAGGGATTTTTCTAGAAGCTTACTAGTGCTTGGCACTAAACCTTCAGTTCTCCTCACTAAATGGGCTGCACAAAGCAAGAACAAAAATGGTTCAATGTGATCTGAATTACTTTTCAGAATATAACTTGTAAACTTGAAGAAAAAAAGCAGATGGAAATAACAGATGGGTCAGCTACAGACAAACAGTGCCAGAAGTGCACAGCTATGAGGGTCATGGTCTGTAAGAGGGGTCTTTGGTAGGTAGTAAAGGCAAACCCCTTTATTATTTCTCCAATCAAATGTACCACTCCACATCCAGCAGCCACATAGCCAGCCCCATTTCCTTTCCTTTTGGCAGGACATAAAATTGTTCAGCAAAAGGCAGGTGCAGAGGAGAGGGTGGGGGCAGCACTGCTGGTGTTGCGTGAGGCCCGTGAGCAGCATGGAAATGACAGCAGTGCCCACCTGTGCCACCTGCCCTCTGGAGGGAAGCTCCCAGTCCTGGTGGAGATGAGGCCCCTCCAGCCTCAGAACCTACCTTTTATGAGGCATTTGAAGACCTGACAGGTGCAAGATAATGCAGCCATAATTTTGACCCTCACAAGTCTTTTCATATGTACAATTAGTCTGTTCCTAAGTCAGTTCTTCTAAGCCACTTTGCCAAATTCAAATGTCAAAGTTCGGTTGGATTTTCAGATTGTAGCATCTGGACATTTCATCCCAGAAGTAATTCCTTTCCCATTCCTTAATTGTCCTGTCCTTTGCAATACATTATGCCTAACAGCATATTGGTTCAAGCAACATTAATTTATTAGAGCTTTAATTTCCTATTTTAGATCATTTTATGCCTCAAGTCACCCATAACCACAATTTTATCTACAAATGTCTGTTAAATTATAACAGAGTATGTCTGACTTTTTCTTCTTCTTTTTTTTTTTTTTTTTTGCCATGGGATATGTTGTATAGCTGTTTTATTTGCTGATTAGTCCCTCTGTAGTCCCTAATTGCTTTTCCACAGTAGGTCAGTTCTCTATATACATTTCCATTCTCATAGCTACACACAATCTAGCTCTAATCTTATCACCTCAGGACTGATGGTGTCTCAACGTTTATAACTGAAAATCTCATTAAAAAAATCTTCTGGCATTTTTCACAGATGGATGGAGTCTTATCATGTGTCCAAACCTAATTCCATCTTCAATAATCATATTCTCCTATTTAAATTTACATTGTTTTTGCTCATCTCTCAGACACTTGATTCATGTCCCTGTCATCGTACTGCATCGCTGTGCACCGTGCGCTGTATTTTATTACAGATGGTTGTGTTCCATAATGGGTGAGGTGGGTCTGAATTGAAAAAGGAATTGCAGTCTTACTGAAGCACTGTTAGTACCAGTGTTAGGGAGAGGTCAGGTGTTTCTCTCAAGGGTAGAAGGCAAGAACAAGGTTTGGCAAGGTTTGGCAGGTGCTGGCAAACATGGCAAAGACTGAGGGATCCAGTGTTGAGAGTCTGGAGGATAAAGGGCTTGCCTGAGGAAACAAGTACTTCTGGTGACAGGAGCTGCTAAGAGAATTACCAGGAAACTCCCTTCATTTTGATTACTTCATTTTCCCTGACAGAATAAAAAAAATCAACCTCACAATTCTAAGAAAAAATATCTGCAAAATAAAAATGTCTCTGGCATCTGCCAGGCACTTTTTAAATCCACAGGCACGGAAGAAGGGAGCAGGGGTACCAACCCATCTGTTAGCTGAACCTAAATGGCAGATTACTTAACTCAGAGAGGCAACAGGTGTGGGTGTGTCCTTGAAGATCCAGGCAGCTGTAACTGGCATTCTTCATGCATCATTCTCATCTTGAAATCTCTTCACCTTTATTCCCTTTCCTCTGCAACACGTTGGCTTATTCCACTTTTTTCAAACTACATTGCCTGGGCTGAACTACTGGCTTGTGTGGTTTCTACTATCAGTGTATTTTTCTGTAGGGCAATTCATGCTTCCTTCACTGCTCAAATACTTTCATAACATTTCTCTATGCATTACTAAGGAATGAATAGCAGGAAGTAAACCACTCAATACTACACATACTGTGTGTCAGAAGAGAGAAGAACCCACTTTGTCCAACACCTCCTCTTCCACATCCCTGCCTGAGATGTGTACTCCATGTCAGAGAATCAGACACTACATCTTTAATAAATAATCTACCCTTCAGGGAGCCTCAATGCTTTCAACATCATGCCTGATATCTTTGCATTAATTAAATATTGATATCAATATTCTTACTAAATATTTACTTACTAGCTTTATAACTGTGATCATACCAGAGTGGGTCAGTGGGTCACTCTCATTTTGCCTTTTGAGACTACTAAGTAGATCATCTAAGTGTTTCATCTTTCTCTACTTTTAACTTGCTAATCTATGTTTCTCATAACTCTATCATCAAGAAAAACAAAACAAACAACACCAAAGAAAGATAGCTCTATCTGACTTCATCCAACATGACTGAAAACAATCCACTAAATATGTGAAGAAATATAAATTTATTTTTTCTTTAAAATGTGTTTTTGTGGAATGAAGAGGAAAGTCATCAGACTGGTTGAAGGTAGTATTTGAGATGTCTGTGGAGCAGTAAGGAGACTGCCACTGAAACCTTCTGAAAATTAACCTGTAACATCTGGAAAGGGTTAACAAGTCTGTCAAGTGGTGAGAACACAGGGATATCACAGTAGGCAAGTATTGGTTTTACCCCAAGCATGACTGACAAAATGGAAGAAAAGCAGGAAAATACTTAGTATTAAGAGTAAATCAGAAAGGATTTATTTATTTAAGGATTCTTATTCTTCATTCTATTAGTTTCTCTTTTAATCAGTCTTCAGAAGATGGGAGGCAAAACAGGGAACTGACTGAACTACAACTCGGTCCCACCTCCAGCTCCCATGGACTAATCCATGTCCTAGAGTTACCACGTGTTGCATACAGGTAAAACCTTACAAAGGGGAGGTTGTAAAATCATGGCTCAGGCCTGTTACTTTGGCTGAGCAGAAAAGGACTGTGGGAAAAGGACTCAGCTGAATTAGAGGCAGAAAAACAAGTTATGTAACTATTGCGTGTTCCCATCATGGTGTGTGGTGGTTGGTTGAATTATGTTTGTTATGATTTAAAATTGCGTAGCTAGTGACCCAATTGCTTTTAAAGGGCAGGTTTTTGGAATAAAGGGTTCTCCTTTGCACCTTCCTGGGGATCCTGTGTCACTTCAGACCCCCTCCTCACAACCATGCACCTCTGAGACTGAGGCAAGGAGAAGTTGGTACCATGACTCTTCCTGTGCAAGATCACAGACCCTCAACACCTTTGCATGGTCTCCAAACAGTAATATGCAGGAAGTGATACCACTTCGTATTCATAATCTGCATTTCAAATGCATTTTTCATGCCCTACACCACATTATCTTCTTTTCACATTTCTTTGGCCTCTCTTCTTCTTAAGATGAGGGCTGCCAATTAAGCCACATTTCCCCAGGCTCTGTCTTATATGGTGCAGGGCACCCCAGCTCCCATTTTTAGCAGCCTGGGAAGCCCAGTGTGGGACCAGATCTCCCATTCTCCCAGCTGATGCTGCTCTGCTGACCCAGCCTCTCCTGGCTTGATGGTTGTTTTACATCACTATCCTGTTTGTAAGAGGAGGTCACTGAAAGTTCACCTGAGATCCGGACTCTTATTTCACTGCCATAGTCTCTAGGTGACTAAGGATCATCTTTGCTACTTTTAACAAGTCTTTTCACAATCTATACCCTTTTCTTCATGCGTACTGAGGTCTTAAAGTGGTCAACTTAAAG